GAGAAGCTGTAAAGAAGTATCTCAGGAGAGCGTCACAGGCTTGGTTGATGCGAGATATTGTTAAAGGACACTAGTAGTGGGCTAAATCTACTGGTGACTGTTTTCTTAGACTCAGAGTATTTGAACATGGGACTTGTGTCCAAAGTACTCCCAACAAGGTGGAGTTGTGTGGCATGATTTGTTAAGTTCAACAGTGGTACGCGTATGTTCAAGGTGGAGTCTTGCTGAACAAGTAGCTGTTTAAATCAGAGGATGACTCAGGATGGAAACATGTATGTTTCGGGTTTTCTGCATGGGGTTCAGTAGAATTCTATTTCTGTATCTCAGGGATATGAGGTGAATCAGAAGGTTCTACAAAGGTATCATAGTTGCAGATTGGTAATGATGTGTTTGAGCAGAAATTCTTTGTATCGAAAGTCTTCTTAGCATGGAGTTAAGCGGTGTGGCATGTTGGCAACAGCAGCGGTGCAGAGTGATGTTCAAGATAAGGTGTTCATTCAGGTTATTGTAAAGAGAAATCTCAGGATATCAGTGGGTCTACTGGCTGTTGAGGTTTGTTGAGTCAAAGGAGTGTCTGATTTTGAGGCAGTGGTGGTTCAGGTTTTGTAAGAGTTTCAAGGCCAGCATCGGCATCAGGTTTTTTGCAGAAAGATTGAATTCAAGGTTTGTATCAAAGATCATCTGATACAGAACACGTTTTCAATTGGAGTCACAAGAGGTTGATTAAGTTTGACATTGCTTTAAGGTTGAGGCTGAAGTGTCGATGGTAATAATCAAGTGCATGGTGGTGACTGAAGTAATATGACTGCATGGTTTTGAAGACAGAGTTGTTATGGTTAGAGCTTTGGTTTTGAGGTTCGAAGGAAAAGCAACAAGGAGTCTTCAGGTTGTATCGAGTTGGATACATGTGGGATGCTGGGGGAAACTTGTTTAAGGAGTATTGACGTTGGGCAGGTGAAGCTCAACAGGTGGATGAAGCTGGATGAGGTTTATTCAGAATATGTAAGGCTGAGAAGGTCGGTTCTCAGGAGGCTGCAAAAGATGCAGAACGTGAGCATGTTTTTTGTTCTGGCTTGAAGAAGTTTTGAAGTGACTCTGAGGATTTCAGAGTGGCCAAGCACTAAGGGTGTTTGGTATTGTATGGCATTGCACGAGTTGGCAACATGGTAGCTGCAAATAGAGCTGATTAATCATCAAGGTGGAGATTGTTACGTTGGTGATGAAGAATCAGCAATATTGGAAGCTTGAACCACGTCGAGATTGACAATTGGGTTATATGGCGTTTGGTTAAACGGCCGGTTAAATATTACTCAATGGTTTACGGTTATCACAACCGGTTATCAGTTGTAACAACCCTTGCCTAATATCAAAGCAAGGCTCGTGTGTTGTACACTAAGGAGGTTAGTGTCTTACCTTGCCAGACCCCAGAGACTATCCACATCGGTGAACTTTGGGACATCAAATGAAAAGGTTGGTTAAGCCCGTCGGACTTGTTCAAGTTGGGCTAACTTGAACAAGTGACGCGCGTATGACTTATGGGCCTAGTTGACAAAGCCCATTAGGTCATGTTCTGATTATATCAGATGGAGAGGTCACGACATATGACCTAACACAAGATAGACACAAAGAAACACAGAGGAGAGGCACATAAGAGTGGGAGCTCGTGAGAGAGTTCGAGACCAGGGTTTGGGTCTGAAGAGAGACAGCTAGAGAGAAGAAAGGTTCTCGGTAGTCTAGCTAGGCTCTTCCATACATAATTGTATCTCTAGGTGATTTGTAACAGAGATCAAGGGAGGTTGACATGAACTTGTAACCTCAGGATATTGTACTCTTGTGTTTGATATAATGGAAGGTTGAGAGACCGATTTCTCTCTCCAGTGAGTAGCTCCTTCTTCACATCGAAGAAGGGAGGTGAACACTGGGTTAACAAAAGTGTCTTGTGTTCCTTCTTTACTTGCTTGATTCGTGTTCCGCATACTTGATTAGTTGACTAGGTTTGCGATACAAACTACTGAGCTTCTAGTGAACAGACAAATCCTGAACAAGGGAATAAGAGCTTGTAGATTCCGCAACAAGCTTCTTTGGTTTATTCCCCAACAATAGTTATAATACTGGTTTACGATAGAGGCTCTTTGCTATCTGGATTTACAACTTTTACAATATTTAATATATTTTCTTGGAAAATGTGTGAATTTGATGAGGTTGATGGGGGTGCTCTTATGTTATGTCGTCCATGGGTCTCTACTCTTATCAAAACTTGTGTTTATAGTAAACCAATCCTAGGCCCATTTATAACTTTAGCCCATCACAGTTCAGAAACCGTAATCGGAGGTCATTAAGCCACAAATAGTGACGCAGACGTAAGAAAAAGGATGGGAAAAGGGTAATGAAGACGTGCCATCCAGTACAAAAAGAAAAGTCCAAGCAAGAACAACAATAAATTTACACTTTGGTATTAGTTTTGGGGAGAACTTGTGAAATAGCAAAAACAATTTCTAGAATGAGAGTAGAGCAAGATAGGAAGAGAGAGAATAGGATTTTAATTATTTATTTAATTTGGATTTTTTCGGCTATAAGATACAATTTTCCTTAGCTTTATTAACTAAATTTGTGATTAATGTCCTATGACCGAAATTTTGGTATTATTTATTCAAACAAATCTAGTAGTATTATATTCCTTTTGTCTCACAATAGTAGTATCGTTTTTTATCCGCGTTTAAAAAGCATAAGTATCATTTTTGTTGTTTTATCTACAGAGTCTTTTTGATTTAATGATATAAAATATCACTATCTAATAAAACTTTAAAAAAATATAGAGATTTTAATTTATTGTTATCATCAATATCTATGTAAATATATTGTATGTAACTGTGTAGTTTTATTTTGTAAAAATAATATCAACTAAATACGCTTGTCGTTGGGAAGAGGGTCAAACTCGCCCCGCCCTACCCGCAAAGAAAATATATTTTATCTATATCCATCCCATTTAATTTTGCGGGTAATCTACGAGACCCACAGATAATTATTAAATAATAAAAATAATTAGTTTTTAATTTTTCTAAAAAATAATATTAAATAATATATTTTTAAAGAAATTTGTAATATTTTTAAATTAAATTTATTTTTAACCAAATTTAGTATATTTTTGAAAAATAAACTTAAAAAAAAATTATATTTTTGCGGATTATCGGGTATCCGCAATTGAAATTAGAAAAACCAGCATCCTTCCCGCATAAAATACACTTGACTAGCACCCCCAACTTAAACATTTTCAAATCGATCGACCTGCTCCGTGGCGGGTCAACCCGTGGACTAATATTAAAATTCTTGTTGTAACTACGCCATTAAGGCTGATGTGTTTATTTTTGAAATAAACTTCATAAATAATTTGAAAGTGAATTTAATCAATTAATGAAACTTATTATTATATTGTTTTTATGTCACAAAGCAAAAGATCATATTGCTATTAATAAAAAAAAATTATTCATATCATTAAAGATAATTTTAGAAAACATAAAAATTTCATTAAACAGACTGTTTCTATTTAATGGTATTGATATGATTTTCTTATTAGAAGTGCACAAATTATATTTACACGCACGGAATCACATAGATATGGAATCCTTGGTTTATAAAATCTTGATTGTGTACGTTATGTTGATGTAAAAAAGGATATTATTAATTAATCATGAAAATATAAAATATAATTGGTTATAAATTTTAAGAAATCAAAATTAACCTAAAAATACAAAAGTAATATTTTAGATATCAACTAGGTGTTTTGCCCGCACATGCGGACATAATTTCTGTACAATTTATTATTAGTCTATATTTTATTAATTCAAACCAATATAATAAGTTATGATTTATGTTTTAAAATTAATTATAAATGACAACACTCAGATAACAAAATATTTTTAAAAATATATTTTTACAAATGTGTTGGTTTAATTTATTTTAATTATAATTTTTTTCTATCTTAATTTTTTATTTCTATAATAAAAAATATATTTTCAAGATAACAATATAATACATAAGAAGTATCGTATTTTCTCAAAATATAATTTTTAATAGAAATTCGTTTTTATTTTATAATAATTTTATATGAAATTATTTAAAATATGACAAATAATCAAAATTATCTAAATCATGGAGAAATTACAAATCAGATAATTCACTTAAATTTTTTAATAGAAAATATATGTTCAAGATAACAATCTAATACATAAGAATTTTCTTTTAGTTTTAAATCTAGTATTATTAGTATACATTTGTTTTATTATTTAAAAAATTATATCTGTAATTATTAAAATATGATAATAAGCAAAATATAAAACCATGAAGAAGTTGATAAATCAACATTTCTTTCTTTATATTTAACTATTAATATTTTAACTTAATTTTTAATTTCTATGATTTTTTAAAAAAATTATTTTAAAGATAATAATATAATACATAAGAATTATCGTATTTTCTAAAAATCTAATATTATTAATAGAAATTTGTTTTATTATATGATAAATTATTCATAAAATTATTAAAAAAAATAACAATTAAGAAAAATTATAAAAACCGTAGAGAAGTTACAAATCAATTAGTAAATTCACTTGAATTTTATAATAGAAAAATATATTTTTAAGATAACAATTTAATACAAAATATTAGCATATTCTCTAAAATATAATATTATTAATATAAATTCATTTTTATTAAATAATAAATTTTATATGAAATTATTAAAACAAAGTAAATAAACAAATTTACCTAAAATTAAGGAGAATTTGACAACTAAGCAAATTTACTTCTTGTAAATGGAACAGATAAATTCTACTAGTATGAGGGAGACAATATTACAAAGAATATTATAAAGACCGAATTAGAAAAAAAAAATTGAATAACGAGAATGATTTGGTTTGGGGAACAAGCTATCTAGGCACGTCAGCGAATATATACATATAGATGTGAGTCCACCGTCGTTAATCATTATCCCAATCCTACAAGAAACAGGTAGCGTTTGGCTCAAGAATCAAACATCTTCTTCTTCTTCTTCCTCTCTCTAAGTCTCCAATTGATTTGATCTGTTACATACTCTGTCCGAATTCTCAAGAATCTATCTTATCTGTTCCTATAGATTATCAGAAGTAAAGATGAATAAAGGCAGCAGCTTTAAGCTGGACAACGATTTCGGTTAGTCTTTTTTTTTTTAAACTGATTCAATCTTGTGATCTTTTAAGGTTATAAGCACATACATGTGAGTTTGTGTTCATGTCTGTTTATTTTTATGTGCAGAAAAGAGGAAAGCTGAAGCTGGAAGGATCTTAGAGAAGTACCCTGACAGAATCCCGGTACATGCTCTGTTCTTTTAAGGGTTTCTTATCCTTTATATCTCTGTTCTGTATTCAATTGCACCAACACGATCATGATTCGTAAATCTTGGATTTGTATGTTGCTGATCACAAGTTTCTGACTTTGTGGTATTCATGTCTTTCTATGTTGCTGATCTCACAAGTTTCTCTTCTCTATTCTAATAGATAAAAGAATCAGAACTAGATTACATTCAGACAATAGAAAAACTAGTTTTGTCTGAGAAAACAATACTTGTTTCAAACCTTTGTTTCTGCTTCAAGAGTTTGTTTACTATCTTACATTGTATTATTCACTCAATAAATGGAGTCGTGTGTTTGTTGCAGGTGGTTGTGGAAAAGGCTGAGAAAAGTGATATCCCAGACATTGACAAGAAGAAGTAATGACCTTTGTTACCAACCTTCTTTTATGTCCCAAAATTTGTAGTTTTTTTTTTAAATGGAGTTTCTGAATAATTTGGATTTTGCTTCATTGCAGATACCTTGTGCCTTCAGACCTAACAGTTGGACAATTTGTCTATGTGGTTCGGAAGAGAATCAAACTAAGTGCAGAAAAAGCTATCTTCATATTCGTAGACAATGTCCTTCCTCCTACAGGAGCGATTATGTCAAGCGTCTATGAGGAGAAGAAAGACCAAGATGGCTTCCTCTACATCACTTACAGTGGCGAGAACACTTTTGGTGCTTCTTCACTCTGAACCTCAGTGATGTTTTCCTCTTTCAGTTTGTGTATATAGTATTAATAATAATAATTTATGGTTTCTATGTTCTTGCACTTTGTTAAAATGTATATAGACTAATATTGAAATATTCGCATCATATATTATTATACTATTTTTCATTTAATTATCCTTTAAGGAAAATAATTTAGTGTGTTTTATCCTGTCAGTTTTTAATTTCTTCTATATAAAGTTATATATCTCCTCCTTCACATGCATCCATCCCATAACATTCCTTACAGCCTCCATGGGCTCTCTTGTACTTACAGCTATTCTTCTCACACTTAATCTTCTTTTCTTCCTTTTGTAAGAGCATCTACATCAAGGTTTTATTGGAGGAGATCACACGCTTCCAAAAAAAAAAAAAAAAAATAATGAAAAACTTGTGAACCTGAGTCACAAAAGTTCTCTGGCTCACTACTTTTTGCGTGGGCCCCACGTCACGTGGCAGCCCACGATTGGTCGATTAATTTTTTTTTCTTTTTTAAACAAACAGAAAAAAATAAAAAATAAAATAATAAAAAAATATATTTATGAACCCCATGGGAGGTTCATAAATGTAGATGCTTTAAGGGTAACATTATTGCTAGAAACAAAATTATGTCTCTTAGCTTATTTTATTAATTTTTGTAACATAAGAGACAAAGATAAGAAACTTTATAAAAATGCAGATTATTGCTGGAAATTTTTGGTGTTTCTTAGGTAATAAATTTTATAATTTTTGTGTTTAAAAAAACACACACATATATATATATATATATATATATATAACTTTTTAGTGTTTCAAATAAAACATAAATATAGCAAGCTTACTGCAGAATCTGGGGGTTGGAACTAAAACAAATGGAAATACAACATGATTAGTGTTATGAGGAAGTAATATCATATAGGAGTAGGCTAGGCTAGCATCCACGTCCCTGAAGGTGATGAAACAGGCTACTAAATCCTTGATCTCACAAATGAAAAGAGGAGATAAGGATAGAATGACAACCTGATCATTGCCTCTGAGGAAATCAAGCATTCCAAGCTCTCCAGCACCAGCTTCTGCTTCCTGGAACAAACAAAAAATTCAAGGTAACTCAACTCCAAGAATCTCTTTTTTGATGCACTAAAAAGACCAAGCTCTTACCTGAGGAAACAAATCTAAACGAGATGAAGTACCGGTGATGCTCTCGACAAGGTAGGATCTTGCACGGACGTCATAGATGATTGGCCTCTCAAACCATAGCAACATGAAATGTGTGCCTTTGGGGTAGACCTGGAAAAAACAAATCCAAAAAGTGAAACCCAGACTTATCAAATAACTATTTATAAGACTATTGTAAGTTTGAGGAATACAATACATTTTCCTTGATACCAGTCAACCGGTTGAACATGACAGCAGGATGCCCACCCTCGACATTGTAGAGGCTATTAGAAATTGCGTAGACACCAAGCCCACCAATAACGCTGACCTTAAGAAGCAGAGAGAGCAGGAGATCCAGGGATGTTGGGCACTTTCTTGAAACTCATTTCTTTAAGAACTACAAGAAACAATCAACACAGTACTGAGATTTTCAATGATCATTTTATTCAATAGATAATCCAAAAGACCAACACAAAAACATGGATTCAAAAAGATCACATAAAAGCTAAAATCGATCGAGCATTTGACCATTATCAAATAGACTCAGTAACCATACAGATCTTGAGATCCACGAGTTTTCACACATGAACATTCTATCTTTAAATCAAACAAGGATTATCAAAATAAAACAACGATCGAGCGCAGCGTAACTTGAAGCACCAATAAACACAGTGAAAAGTCGGAGATACAAATGGAGGATCCAGAGAGAGAGAGAGAGAGAGAGAGAGAGAGAGAGAGAGAGAGAGAGAGAGAGAGAGAGAGAGAGAGAG